GAAAAGACGAGGGGGGAACCTGATAATCTTCAACTATGTTAAGGGCTGTTATAGAGAGGTCTGTGATCAATTGTTCTCCATGTCCACTAAAGGTAGGATAAGAAGTAATCAGCTTAATCTGCAGCAAGAGAGTTTAGGTTAGATATTCAGGAAAATTTTCTAACTATAAGGACAATTAAGTACTGGAACAGGCTTCCAAGGGAGGTTGTGGAATCCCCGTCATTGGAGGTTTTTAAGAGCAGGTTGGACAAATACCTGTCAGGGATGGTCTAGGTCTAGGTCTACTTGGTCCTACCTAGGAGTTGAGGGCTGGACTAGACGACTTCGAGGTCCCTCCCAACCCTACATTTCTATGATTCTATGAATTTGTGAAACAACAATATGTATCTCTATTTAGAGAGAGGTCAACACATTAGTCAGCTTTTAGTTCATACCCAGAAAAAAAAATTATAAATATTAAACCTCTGTGCAAACTCAATTTCTCAGGAATCTATAATATTTTAGCATGTTTGAAAAATAAGTACATAATAAACAAGCCACAGAAACCACAAATTTGGAGTATTTGTTTAAAAAAATACTGCATTTTTCAAACTTACAAGCAAACAATTCCTAGTGTCATAATTTGCATATAACATTGCAAAGAGAAATAAAATGTTCTCCCACTCTTGCAGAAGATGGGGGCAGACTAGTTCAAGAGGTTGCAGGACAGAAAGGATCAGTGCAATTGGGAAAAGCTCCAAAACACCAGATTCACCCTCCAATCCCACAGTGTAAACTTTCTACTGCATCTGTAGGTAAAGTGGCACATGGCTCCTAGAAAGCCACCCATCTTCCCTTCTTGTTCCCGCTGTGATCCCTAGTGCAACTAGCTGTGGGAGCAGCTAACATGTACAGGGTTGCAGGCCCAGGCCTTTGCTTTTCTGACACTCAATTCAGTCTTCAGTGATACCAGTGGATATTCCCCACCCTGGGCAGCAAATAGCCTTCTGTTTGGTGAGTGGGGAATTGAAAGGGGGACGGTAGCCTGTTGATTCATTTTGTCTATTTAGATTGTAAACTATCTAAGGCAGGGACGCTCTTACTATATGTTTGTACAGCACCAAGCACAGTGGGGCCCACTTGTGGTTGTGGCCTCTAAGCATACAAATAATAAATACTAATAATTGTCATAGGCAGGTATCCATTTACCAACACAACTCCTACCACAACTGGCATCCTGCTGGAAGCTTTTACAGCGAGAGCAAGGTCTGAACAAATGAGCATGGAGACTGAATTAGCCTCTCACTCAAGCAATCGCCCCTCCTGGCCAGCACAGGGATAAAGGACATTAGCAGGCAGACAGCAGTGGGGAAGCTTACACTGTCATTCTCTGTCCCTGCTCTGTTGACAATCAGGAGTCAAGCCCAGGGCTACCAATGTGGCATCTTTCATAATTACTAAGTTCACAATTTTTTAAAGTCATAACTCTATTTAGGGGTAACAATACCTATTCCTGAGGGACCTGTGAAGCAGACTTTCTGAAGACTTTACAGAAGAGAAAAAATGTGTAACTAATACATTACCAGGGAATGAAACATCTTTGTGGTTTGCAATCTGTCTTTTAATTGTCCACCATTTACTCCGAAGCCACTGTGGTGAGCGGACACTGCTCCATCCTTCAGCCAGTAGATCCCAATTGATTTCATTTTCATCGGACACCTCAAGCTCTGCTATCCTGGCAGGGTTATAGAAAAAAAGGAATCTGTCAGAAGCTGCCTTCAGGCCTTTAAGGGACGTTAGACATCTTTGCTTAAGAATGGATTTAGGCTTCCAAGGCTCCATGCTGCCAGATGTCAAGCAAATCACAGATGTCAGAGATGGATTAGACCTATTAACTCATCCAGTCCATCTCCCTGCCAATGCAGGTTGTTCTTCCTCCTAGTGCTCTGTCCAGACTAATTTTAAATCTCCCAAGCAATGGTGCTTGCAACACTTCTCTTGGGAAACTATTCCCCTAATACATCTCCTGGGCAGGAAATACTTCCTGATATTCAACCTAAGCTTTCACTCTCTTAATTTCATCCCATCACTCTTAGTTATACTCTTCTTTTACCCTAAATAACATCTATCTCTCCTTAGTATGGACTTATGTCTCCCCTTAGATTTCTCTTAGGTAAGCTATACATAGTTAACTATTTAAAACTTTCCTCAAAATCAATCCCTCCAGGTTCTTCAGAGCAGGGATTGTCTTCATATATGTTAGCAAATATCTAGCACCCTGTGGGCTCTACTACAATCTGTAGGAATAATCATCATCCCTGAATTCCCTTCAATTTGTACAGTATGCTGGGGAAGGGTTTTTGCCTGTAAGCTGCAAAAGCCCTCTTCATAGACCAAGTAGTTCTACTGACTGTACCTGCTAGCTAAAGGAACAATCCTAAAGGGATGAATTATGAATGACTGGACAGACTGTGAGAGACTAAATGCATCAATACTATTTGCACACCAGTACTAAGAAACATAACCAGGATGTATTGTAATTTACAATTAGTCAGGTTAATCATTTTGAATGTATGTCATAAAGCAGTGACTAGTGCTCTGTAAATCATGTTTGAATTCTCTGCCTGTCTCTCCCTTTTATCGCCATCCAAGAAAATTATCAAACCATAATGAAAAATTGACTGGCTGAAAAATCTGAGTTAAAAGTATTCAAAACAGAAGAGGAACTGAATGACTCAGAAGGTTTCTAGTGGACTATTGAGCCTTTTACCACTTGGTTATCAGTTCAACTCTAACTCAGGTAGGGACCAAAGGTGGCGCCATCTGGTGGCCTACATGAAATGAAATTGTGGTCTCAGTTTAGTTCCTTGTGGACATGCGTCCACATCACAGAAACCACCACCACACTTGACCCTCGTTGGCAATCTCAGCAGAGAGGCCAAGGACTGAATGGGCATGGAGACTGAACTACCCTCCAGTTCAGGGTAGAAGCGCATTGGTGGGGCAGTGTGTGGGAAGCTTGCACGGTCGCTGCCTGTGCTGTACCTGTTCTGTGGAATAATAGAAGACTTCAGTCTCCAGGGCTTTCAATCTGACACCTTTCACGAGCACTAAAATTCACTAAAAAAACAAAAACAAAAATAATGTTCAATATGAAATCTCTGGGAAGTTTGAACACAGCAGCCATTTTTGGCGTGTTCTTGAGATCTCTTAATGACTGGGAAATCAGCAAAAGGGACCCCAAAGGAATTCTGCTAGTGTTACTTTTTTACTATGAAACTTTTTAAACTGAGAACACAAACCTCAAGATTAGATTTATTTCATCCTCCTTAGTCCACTCAGTTCCGCCACTCTGTTTCCAGTTCAGATAGTTAAGCCATTTGGAGCGGCATTGTTTTTCAGAGCGTGTTCCAACCCGTTCTGCCACAGCAGCCCACGATACCCCTTGTGTGACAATGTCACCTGGCTCCGTGCTGGTTAGTTCATGTACCACTTCTGCTAGTCTCTTTTCTTCTTCTTCTGTCCATTTTCCTAACAAAATAAAGGACAAAAACGTGCAAATTAGCCAACAGTACAAGCCATCTTAATTTTGAATAGCAGATATGGAACCATACAACATTTTGTGATTGGAAGCAGCACTACAATTTTCAGGAGTTTAACCACTTGCATAACTGTGATGCTCTGTACCTCGGGGGAACACCCAGCACACCCATGTTCATCCTTGTAAAATAATTGTGTGGTATCCAATGCAACGTTTGTCATGTCAGGTGTCTTCAGAAGGCTCATGATGCACTGAGCATTGTTGTTACAGTAATGTTATAGGTTATAATTTCATGTATATAGTTATAAGGCTGAAAATGTATCCTCATGGCTTAAAGCAAGCCCAGCCAAAAAACTCTCCAAGAACAGAGAGGCAATTCACACCTCATCAGGGCATGTATAGGACAAACCCAGCCCAGCCTCACATGAACAAAGGACGCTGGCCTAGGCAACAACAAAAGGATCTGTTAGGGCATGTCTTCACTACGGGGGGGGAGGGGGGTCGATTTAAGATACGCAAATTCAGCTACACGAATAGCGTAGCTGAATTCGACGTATCGGAGCCGACTTACCCCGCTGTGAGGATGGCGGCAAAATCGACCTCCGCGGCTCCCTGTCGACGGCGCTTACTCCCTCCTCCGCTGGTGGAGTAAGCGCGTCGATTCGGGGATTGATTGTCGCATCCCGACGAGACGCGATAATTTGATCCCCGAGAGATCGATTTCTACCTGCCGATTCAGGTGGGTAGTGTAGACCTAGCCTCAGACTCTCAAGTGAGTTACCACCTTTCCTTTGGTCAGTTTGGGACTGCAATGAGATAATGCTCACCTGACTCTGAATGGGGGAGAGCAGAGGCAAAGCCAAGAGGGAATAAAGAACATAATAAAAGGGACAGACATATGCCATGCTCTTCCTCTCTCTTCCACCTACATCTACAGACACCACACTAAGTGACTGAAGTGCTGATCAAAGGGGAGAGCCTGGCTCAAGAGCAACCAGCCAGCCTGTGGGGAGACAAATCTAAGTTTGTAAAGGCACCGAAAGTGTTAAGATCAGCTTAAAAGGTGTTTTGCTTTTATTTCATTTGACCAAATCTGACTTGTTATGTTTTGACTTATAATCACTTAAAATCTGTCTTCAGAATTAATGAATTTGTTTGTTTATTCTACCTGAAGCAGTGCGTTTGGTTTCATCATGTCAGAGGCTCCCCTTGGGATAACAAGTCTGGTACATATCAATTTCTTTGTTAAATTGACGAACTCATATAAGCTTGCAGTGTCCAGTGGGCATAACGGGACACTGCAAGATGGAGGTTCTTAGGGTTGTGTCTGGGACTGGAGATATTGGCCAGTGTCATTCGGTTGCACAATCCAAGGAGCAGCTTACATGCCAGAGGCTGTGCGTGAACAGCCCAAGAGAGAGGGTTCTCACAGCAGAGCAGGGTAAGGCTGGCTCTCAGAGTCAAGGATTGGAGTGACCTAGCAGATCACCGGTCCAGATAACGCCAGAGGGGAACGTCACAATAACCTTAAACAGTCATAGTGTCCTGGACGAATATAGGAGTTGCCCTATGTACTAGGTACATCCCTTTGACGGTCAGATGTTCCAACAGTACATCATTAACTCATTCAAATGCTCGTTGGTCCACTGCAGCAGGGAAAGAGTTAATTGTTTAAAGGCAACATCTTTGCCCCTGTGAGCAATAAGAATGGGAATATTCAGATCTATACTGAGAAAACCAAGCATACTCTGTTCTAGTTATCATCCTCCCCCTCATTCAGGCTCCTTCCTCCACTACTTATTTATTTGTATGCCCATCAGCACAGTATGTTAGTGCTCTCCTTAATCAAACAAGACACTGCTTCCTCAGAAATACTAGGAGACACATACCATAACCCAACTAACAGATGGGAAGCCTCACACTCTCCCACTACAAATCTTTACACCCCTACATCAAGCCACTTCTAGCTCAATGCTAGTTTTTCTACACACACAGCCTCATCTTCCAGTGTGACTGGTCTGCCCAAAGATGCTCCTGGCCTGACACAAGAATCAGGAACTGGCAGAGGGTGTGATGATAAGTCTTATCAAGAGTGCGAGAATGAGCAGATAAGCAGGTACCAGCAGACAGGTCAGGAGAGACTCCCTTCCAAGACTCTTTCCCAGCCTCACGTCCTAGTGGCCAAGAACTCTCTTTTGGTACATCCCAGGAGCCCCGCTGAGCTCCCCTCCCCCACGGGACTTCACACCTAGAAATTAGGTCACCAGTTAGCTACCTCAGTTAGGAGTTACACACCTGGCAATTAGCCAAGTTGTAAAGATTTGAATTCTGATTCACAAATGTTTTTACAACTTTAATTCCACAAGTCTCTCTGGCAAAAATATAATTTCCATGAAACAGTGACAGCGGTGAAGCAAAGAAACCCAGCCATGAGATGATTACTGGGCTCTCATCTCAGTTTAGCCACCGACTCACTTTGTGATCTTGGGCAAGTCAACCTATCTGTAAAACTGGGTAAAAACCGGAGACAACACTGAAAATAAGGGGACAGATCCCTGGGGAGTCGTCCTACGGAAAAAAAAATCGCAACACGTTGAGGAGCACCTCAATCTATATTTAGGGATTGTTATGGAACAGTATATTCAGTTTTGGGTCACTGATTCCTAACATTAAGTGGTAGTGAAGTTATTAACCTATTTTACGACTTTCTATAGCACACATCATGATAGCATCCAAGCATGTACATTTCATCTGCAGTAAAATATCCTTATGATACTGAGTCAACATTATGGATTAATCTCTTGCTGTCAAAACACCTCATGGTACAAGATCATAAAATCTCACAAACTGAGCAGTCCAGCTGTCAGTGTTTGGATGCGAAACATGTAAGGAAAAGCCTAAGTGCGGCAGGAAGTAATGCTGGTGATTCAATATGTATGCCACATTCACTCTGGGTCAGTACTGAAACGATGCTCCAGCATGATGCAAAGTACTTCTGCTAAAAGTGCTGACTTTCAGATGAGACATAAAACCAGAGTTCCAGGCCCCTTGAATATCATTAACAATCCCATGGGAAATTACATGGGTATTAAATCCAGAGTCCTGGCCAAATTTCAATTGGGTAATTATATACTGGTTACCTAATTTTCCCCTTCATTTTTAATAAAGTATATTTCATTTCCTGTCCTACAATATTGTGCAGTGTTGATATGTGCTGTTTAATAGTTTCTTCACTGTAATTCAGCGATAGCTACAATTTAGCACTGAGTGATATGACACCTATATATATATATAGAGAGAGAGAGAGAGTGTGAGTGAGTGAGTGTTTAGTAAATATCCAATGATTAAAATGCATCAAATACTTTGTAATTCATCGTGATGAAAAGTACCATAGGAACATCAGAGCTCAAGATTGTTATTAAAGGCCTACAAAAAAAGTTATATATACACATTGTAATTTTTTTGCCCTTTGTGACCTGAA